ATTGTTTTTATGTTGACCATTTTGTTCTCACAGATGAGCAATAAGGATGGAGCCCAAACCAGTTCTTTAAAACAAGCATTACAATTTTACAACAACCCACATCCTGTCTCTACACCGTAGAGTGATAATAAATAAGGAACATATTATTAATTAAAAGTAATCTCAGTTGTCAATATTATACATGTGAAATAAGAAGTTAAGATTACAAATATAATACATAACCGTAATTAACCAAAACTGAACAAGAGGAGATAAAAATAAAATAATAAAGAGGCACATAACAAAACGCATACATACAGTTTATATATGTGTTTTGCTATATTCCTCTTTGTGTATGCAGCTGTGGCTCAGGAGTTAAAGTGGGTCAGTTTGATCATCATATCATCTGGTCTGCATGCTTAAAGAGAGATGCATAACAGAGCGCTGCATAAATGCACGTGTGAATGTGACTCGTAGTGTAAAATGCTTTGAGTCGTGAAGATTAAAGCTCCAAATAAACACAAGTCCATTTACTGTCAATGATTCATGCTCAGTTTGGTACAAAGTGTGTATTCCTGCCAAAATAACATCAATACAGAGACCCTGCAGAGTGCTGTGTTGTTGTTATGAAGACAAAGGTCTTTGGGTCGTGCACATCCTTGCAGAACCACAAAGTGTGGTACTGTAAAGTGTGTGTGTGTGGGGGTCACTAAATGTGCAGTGTGTGCACCTAAACCTATTTAAAGTAGCACTTTTGCATACATTGCATTTTCATACTCCAAACAATCGCACAAAAAGATAGTCTCTGCGAATGAAGCAGAAATTCTCATTGTCTGGAATAAACTTCAGTCATCACTTTCTTCCTCCCCAACTCCTTTTATAATTTTAGAAACGTTACTTAGAGCCTCCTGCAGTTCTCCACACAACACGTGCATGACTTCTGAAAGAAAAGTTGAGGCTTCCCCCCCCCCTGAAAAAACTGGATTATTTATTATTGTGGAAATGCCTCTGGCTCTGCGATGAGAAGCTTCCCGGGGCTCATTTCTCAGCAGCCATCCAGCTGTAAACCCTCCCTCCGCCTGCCTGCAGTGCACCCGGAGGACCCTGCCGAGGGAGATGTCAGACACCCACACAGGCATCTGCAGAAGCTGAAGCACTGCTTTACCCGTGGATGTTAATTCTCTGTTTTTTTTCTCCCCCACTGTCTTTCACTGCTGTCCAACAGCTTGTCCAACAGATGAAACACACACACACACACACACTGCACTGCACTGCACTGCCTGGCTGGTACGCTTCATTTCAGTGTCAGGTAGGGGCTCTGCCTGTAGAGCAGAAAGGCTCACGCTGGATTCCTTGCCTCTTTGACTCCGGTTTCTTGCTTGGTAGCCTGGATGAAGCTTGTGGTTAGTATTGGCCCTATATGTGTGTGTGTGTGTTTGTGTGTACAGCTGGGTGAGGGCAGAATTTGGATTTCTGCCTTTAACTCCCAAAACACATTCCTCACCAAATGGATTTTCCAGTCCGTTATGTTCTGCACCATTAATCAGAGGACAGTCACACCGATTGTCTCTCCCTCCAAGGCTTCTGTTTTCTCTCATCAAAGTCTGGAAGTGCCGGGAGATGGAGGATGACAACATAAGAGAGCCGAGTTGTAGTCTTTGGCTCGCTGTGTTGTATCACATGGCGGTGTGGTGGTGGCCCGCGAGGAGTTTTCCGCCCTGGAAAATCTCCAAGCTTTTATATGTGGTATTTAGGAATGAAGGGTGTCTTCTCAGGGAAAAATATAGATGTTTTTGCTCCACACATATTTTCTACTCGGCAGGAAAGTATGTCAGAAATGTAATCCGATCTGTGTTTGTACATCCAAGGTTCCTCATACCATTTGATTAAATGAAGCCAAAATATCCTGGATACAAACGCTGCCCTCTTGTGTATTTGGAGCCAGAGTCTGTGCAGTAGTGATCGGGGGATTGAGCCATGATGGCGAGGTCCGTCGACCATTTGTCTCAGCTTTCAGTCGTGACCTTTTACCCTGTTTCTATAGCATGAAGTAATAAAAGCAAACGTAATGGAAACATTTGCACTTGAACACATCAGTGTGATAAGAACTCCTCAAAATTAGCAAAACCATCTTTGAGAAAAAATTCTTTGACTTTGACTTTATACTTTGGAACATGTCCCATCCACTAACATGGAGGAGGTGGGATTTAGGTGGCAATCATCAAGCTTGGGCTTTACTTATGCGGGGGTTTAAAACATGGCGGTGCAACAGTGGAAGAGAACTCCACTTGTAGACATGTTTGGCTCTCTCAATGCTAATGAAGGCATGATTCTTATTGTCAGGAGATTATACACTAATATTATTTATTTTCCATTTCAAAGCACAGAGCGTATTTGAACAGAGACAGATGCTGCCAACCATACACAAGCACTTATCATCCTGTGATGAAATTAAAATATGATAACGATATTCGTAACACGACCAGCTGGGGAAAACCACAGGATGTGGTTGAAAGCTTCATTTAAAAAATATTGAAATTTAGCAACTTTCCCCTGAACAGTTTTGCTTCATCATCTTCGTTATCAACCTCTTTCTCTGTACGTTGCATTCAAAAAATGATTCCACTTTTATTACATTTTCTCTCTCTTCCACCGTTAAATAGCGCTGGTGGCTAGAAGAGAACGTTGCCATGGTGACACGGTGCCGTGGCAGCCGGTAATTATTCTGATTTAGATGCCAGCGGAGACGCACATGAGCTGGCACACCGTGGCAGATAGTGACACCTGGATACGAATCACTCAGACGAAAGCAGGTGAGGAATCTTTTAGGCATTAGTCAAAACTGTGTTTTGACCACACAGGACAAACTTACCTGTGGGGTGACAGCAGTGATTCAGAGGTGTGGCAGTAAGAGTCATGTACAACACTGAACGGTTTGATGAATACAGCAGATATCATATGTTGAATCATATGATACATGGATGATGTCACCTGGTTGCTATCCTCTCACACGGTCAATAAAATGGATATCGTGTGTGTCTGTGTGTGTGTGTGTGTGTGTGTGTGTGTGTGTGTGTGTGTGTGTGTGTGTACTTATATGTTTGTGACAACCATTTTGAGCACAGACTTTATGGCGCAAGGACATTTTTGCACCAAAATTTAGCGAGCAAGACATTGTCAAGTCGTCCACTAGCAGCCGTCAGCGCGCATTCATGTGTCGTGGACGTATGGCCTAGACGAGCGGGCCGATTTGAGGGGGTGGGATGTATCAGTTTCATATTTTGAAAGTGTAGCCTGCTTTTGTTAGCTTTTTGATTGGTCAGGATTGCCAACCCTAGCTTTGAGACTTGCTTTTATTGGGATAGGGTTAGAATTAGGGTAAGGGCTTGTATTAGGTATTTAGTTGCGATGGTTAAGATAGAAGTACAAGAATGTGTGCTTGTGTTGTTACTGCTTTGGAGCTTACAAAACACAATCACACACACAACTCTCTCTCTCATACTTGCACAGCTCTCACTTTAGGGCATAAACACACCTGTAGTACCTGTACACACACACACACACACACACACAGAACACAACCACCGACCCAGGATAATATTCAGCTCAGTGCTTTTTATTTCCCCTAAGCAGTAATCCTCCCCCCTCTCGTTTTCTTTTTTTTATCAGCTCGCTTCCAGACGAGGCCGACCTCACTTATCATCCACGGTGTCAAGGTACGGTTCTGTTTGCCTCTCTCCGTCCATGTGTGGCCTGAGCCCTGGTGTACTTTTCACCACAACCGGCGTTCCAACAAAAACAGGAATCCCTCCGCAGCCTTTGGAAGAGGTGGTAAAATTTGGCTCGTGCAGCTTCGCCTTGAAAATTCATCGCTGCTCGAAGACATTTCCCCCAACTCCCACATTCCCCAGTCTCATTAGCATAGGCAGGAGAGGTACACCACCGGCACAAAATACACAAACTCAGTAGTCACACGCACATACTAGACAGGAGTTTGGCTCATGCACATAGACCAGGAGAAAACAGACATGGGAAGATGGATTGTCATATTTTTGTCAGCGATCACTGGGAGGTCGGCTGTAGCTGTCTCTTCTGCTGATGGAGAGGAGCAGGGCATAAATATAGATGGTCATAAATGTCCCTTTTTCGGTGCTCACTGTCAGTACGTCACCTTTTCTGTCTGATTTCCTTTTCCTTCTTTCTCCACATCCCTCTCTTCTACACACACACACACACACACACACACACACTCTGACAAGCAGCACACACACATGGTGGCATGCAAACCAACCACTCCACCTTTATTTGTTTTTTGGGGGGCTCAGAGAAGCACCCAACCGAGTCTCCGCCCGCCGTGACTCACCACACAGCCTCATAAATCACCCGTCATAACATCGGCAGTTCCATCAGTGCAGCGAAACACAACTTTGGCTGTTAGAAGGGGGGGACGTGATGAGGTTGCTGAGGCCAGATGCCGGTGGTGGAGGTGGCTCTGGTTTGGTGTGAGGTTCCACTGCACCAGACTGAGACAGAGCTCTGTCTGCAGTGCAGTCTGACACTGCTCTATGCTGCCACCTTCTGGCCATGAGTGATCACAGGCTGCAGTTGAGCTGCTGGTGAAGGATGCACAGATTTGATGTCGATGTCATCATGAGTGTTTCCTCTGCAACCAAAGCCTGATGCAGCTAATCTCTCTTTTGCACAGGTTCAATTCAATGAAAAGTTGTTCTGCATAAATAACTGATGGACGGATTTGTTGTTGCTCATTTCATAACTGAACTCAAGAGTCTCAGTCAAAGTTTGACTTTATCCTTGAATAAACAGATTTTATCCTCCCCTAGATATTTCATCTGATTTTAAGGTTATGTGATTCATGCAGTTGTCTATAAATCCCTGTCGTTCAAAGATGTTGAAGCTGCTCCCAAAAATTCCTTTTTGGTGATTTATTTAAGTTTTCTAATGGATTTTTATTTGGAATAACAAAATCTTGTTTTCTTTTTTCCTCCCTCCCCTTTAGTCAGCAGGAACCTGTCCGATGACCTCTCCTCCAACAGTGTGATGCGTCATGGCTCCGGTGCTGAGTGGAGTGTGGTGGGGGCCAGAGGCGGGCGTCGTCGGGTCGGGGGCGGCAGCTGCCACCGGGGTGGCATCGTGGCTTGGCAGTGAGCAGCTGGTCCTGGTTGTCACCCTCAGCACCCTCACTGTCCTGCTACTGGTGTCCGTGCTGCTGCTGCTCTGTGCTAGCTGCCAGGGGTGAGCACCATCCTCCACACACACACACACAAAATAAGGTTTCATTTAAAATCCAGTGTGCGACAGAACACAAGCAAAACCCAGAACATTCACATCTTATCTTTTCTGTCTTCTCTGATCTCTCCACTCGTCTCTCAGGCAGAAGAAAGCAGCCAATGGACATCAAGCAGGAGACCACGACAACCTCATGAATGGAGTGAGTCTGATTCTTCCTGCAACATACTAGAGCAAATTTAAACTCCAGTTTCTGTATTTTCTGAAATTAGGTTTCTGGTTTCACTTGTTATATTTTGCTATTTTTTGTGTGTCCATACATTCTTTACAAACACACACGCTCTCTTACTCTCTGGGTAAACAATAATGTGTTACCATGGATGTTTTATAAGATGAAGTCAGAATTTAGTTTAGAAACTCAAAAAACAAGAAACTATGTTAATTCTGCTGTTAGACATTAAATAACTGAATCCATGAAAACGTGTTGAGACGTGTTCTCTTGTTCAAATATGTAGCGGTACATGTAGAAGCATGCACGCACACACACACACACACCCACGCACACACACTCCTCCTGACATTTGCCTTCTAACCCACTTTCATCACACAGACACAGTGCTACACACAAAAACATCTCCTCCCTACACTCTCCATGGCTGACAGCCTGCAGTTGTTAGCAAGATTGTTTCTAAAATGTCTAAGTTGCATGAGGAAGCTAACTGGCAGCCAAAAGAGAAGTCAGGTTCGCCTTTTGTAATTTACTGCAAAATAAACATAATTTAAATGCAGAAGTCTGAACAATGAATAATGTGAGTATAAATCAACAGCTCATGGTGCGTTTCTTTTTATGAAGTTGAAAATGAAATTAAATCCAATTTAAAAAAAAAAGTAATTATGCACAACACTGTGGAAAAACCTACATATTCAGTTTTAATAGAGTTGACCTTTGCTCTTGCTGAGTATCTAACTCTCATTATGATGTCGGAGTCTCATTGAACATGGCCTCACAGACAGTTATTTCTCCCATAATTCAGATGATTCAGTCACCAAGAAACATTTAAATGAGACAAACACTTATCTTCCACACACTAAGAGACACCCACTCTGTCTCTCCCTCTGGGGCCTTTTCTGCATGTATGTATGCGTGTGTCTGTCTGTCTGTGTGTGTGTGTGTGTGTGTGTGTGTGTGTGTGTGTGTGTGTGTATTTGATGGATAGCTTCACAATAACATTAACAGCAGCACGATTGTGGGGTAGTCACACAGTTTCTGGAAACAGACTATGTCACAGGCTGACAAGTTAAATGTCGGGTCTTTGTCTGTGTAGATGATCAGTTTGACTTGTCCTTACTCGCCTGCAATCGGTTTGATTGTCTCTGTGGCCACGTCCTAACGCCATAAAGGAAATCTGTCCATCACGTCTCATACGTCCCCTTCATTCACACAAAACATGAGACTTTTTTTAACCTCAAGGGTACAAATTTAGTGTCTCATTCAGTTCTTATGTCTTCTCCAGTCAAAAAAGACTTGTATTAAGTTGAGAAGCTCCCACATTCCTCTTGAGTCTGAAACAAAAGAAAAACATAAGCGATACTCGGGTCATAAAATAGTTAAACATTACATCATAGACATCAACAGTTATGACAGTAGATGACCACTAGGTGGGGATGTGGAGCTTCTGATGCACACCCTCACAGAAGCAAAACAACAAACCTGAACAAAGAGAATCATGAGTTACACCAGTCAGTGTACTGTCACAGTGCCTATAAGCTGTTTGCAGTGAGCGACGGAGTCGTACCTCTGCCTGTGGAAACAACAGAGTTCATGATTAAAGTGCACGCTCATAAATCCTACAGGTGCTCAGCTGTGTTACTTAGCCCAGTTTCTTTTCAGCGACTGGTATCGGCCGTTGATGAGAGTGTTTGATTTGATTCGACTCTGTGGAGGCTGATGAAACCGGCTCAGTGGATTCTTGCATTAGTTTAATTAGAGCTGCAGAGTTTGCAGTGAGATGTAGTGAACGGGCAAACAGCCTTCAAGTGGAGGACATGGGCTCTGCTGAAGTGTCCTTGAGCAGCAGTGAATCCCTGCCGGCCTTAGGGTTATTAGCTCTGCAGCTTTCCTGTAGATGGAGGGGAGGTAAAAAAGATGTTTGTTGTTACCCATAATTCTGCCGTTTTACTCTCCTCTGCCAAAACTGTGCAATTATTTCTATCTTAGCGTCAGTGCATCTAATAATTAATGATTCAACCTGACATCAAAATGAGATGTATCTGTAAGTCAGGATAAAAAGATGGATGTCAGATCAACTCAGCCTCTCATGAACCCAACTGCAACCAACTGAGATTACGAGACAACAGCAGCAGCGTATCTTCATTAGGCACGAGTCAGTTTTGATTTTTAGACGTGCAGAAAGCTATCTTTAGATACATACGGCATTTATTGAGGCATGCATAATGTACTGATGATGAGCATTAAGTGAACATGATTATGATATGAGTGGATAAAGGAAACAGGGAAGTGTGAAAACCACAATCAGTTCTGCAAATGTGAGTTTTGAGAAGATCCAGAGAATAATGTTCCTCCATCCTGCTGCACAGAGGTGTGAAACTCATCCACCCTGTGCTCGCTGACAAGTGCAGACTCCTGCTCCTTTCTGGAATTAAACTTTGCAACGCTTTTTGGTGTGACTTCTTTATGTAATGCTGTAACTTTTGTCAGCACTGCCTGTGAGTCATGAACCAGAAGTGACTAACGTCTTGTGCTTTGTTCTGCAGGTGTCAGAGAGAGAGACGATCAGCCAATCAGCAGAGAGTCCGGTGACGGACGTGGGCGTCAGCAGCTCCCACAATGGTCCTCTTACCAGCGGTACAAGTAAGCAAGGATTGTTTGTTTAGCTTATTTTAAATAAGATATATTCAGGTTCACAATGTTAACTTGTGTTATTACTTGAAAAGGTTTACATGTAATTTTAACAAAACATCACTTTCCTCATACTGTCAATTGCTGCAGCTCCTCTTTTCAGCCTCTGTCTGAAACAGCCCCTGTCTCTTTAAGTCCCCTGATAAAGCCCAGTCTGCTCTGATTGGCCAGCTGCCCCACTCTGTTGTGATTGGTCACCAGTGCTGGTAGAAAATATCGGCCTCCTCTCTTGCTTTACCTGGCTTGGTTAGGGTGCGTGCCAGACTAGTTGCTAGACGTGCGTTATGCATGTGGAAGCATTAGCCGAACCACTGATGAAGGTCTCAGGAGCTTCGGCAGAGGAGCTCACTTTACTGCAGACTTTGTGTTTTTTAACTTTTAAATATAATAATATAATAAGAAAAACACAGAAAATCTGTCATATGTCTCCTTCAGATAAAAGCTATTCAATGCTAGAGACATTTAGAGACGCGTAAGTGCAACAGGTTCTGTTCAATAGTTTTATATATTCAGCTTCATGAAATAATATTTACTTTGCAACCCTTCTTATTTTGGACCTCAGCTGTTGTGTTGTGGGTAAATGTATGTAACGTTCTTAGTCATATTCATTAGTCATTTAACCTAGATGGGTCCTTATCATTAGTAGCAGGATGCTGGAAATAGTAAACGATGTATTCTGCCTGACTCATTACCAAACTACTTTGAAATAAATTGTAAAAACAAATCTTGTTTTTCATGAAAAACATGTAAAGGTCATGAAACAAGTGTTTACTCACCCTGTCTCTCTTTTTGTCTCTGCCCCACCAGTCCTCACAGACACACAGGACACCAGTCCTCATCCGTCTGAGGAGATGCTCTCCAGCCAATCAGAGCTCAGGTCCTCCAAGTGTCCTCAGGACCGTGAGCTTCCCAGAATCCCTCCCAACAATGCCCTTATCGGGGACGGACCCCCAGCCTCAGGGGACAGCACCTATGAGGTCAGTGTTTAAAGTCACCTCGCAACAGCAGAAACACGTTCTGAATCGCACTCAGCTGGAACGTGCCAGTGGAGGAGATTAAAGCTTTGATTTCCTGGTTGGTTGACTGACTGATTGATTGGTTGATCGATGGAGCATAGGGTCAAACTATAGATAGTATATTTGTATTTTCCAGAGGTTGATGGGGTTGTCAGTGAAATACTGAAGCATGTAATGTTTTTAGCTAATTTAAAATGTATATTAAATATATAGGTATCTGTTATGCAGGTGGTGAAGGAGATTGCAGTGGCATCACGTGACGTCAGTGTTGAAGACTCCCTATACGAGACAGTCAAGGAGCTCAAAGACCCCCCCGCCCAGCTCGGCCTCCCCAACGGTACCATCGAGCTGAGCCCGGACAAAGCTCCCCATCATCCCCCTGCCCTCCTCAATGGCCACCTCAGCCCCTGCACACCTGAGCGGGTTCCCCTGTGCGCCGGGGTGGAGTACGCCTCCATCGACCTGAATAAGAAGAGCCGTCACAGTGCTGACATGGAGACCAAAAGGCGCTCTGATAATGCTGCCATGCCTTCTCTCAAGCCTCTGGAGGAACCAGAGGAGGACTTACCTCCGCCGGTACCAGAGAAGGTTCTGGATGAAAATGACAACCAGCCGTTGGTGATAAATGGGCTGGAGGGAGCTGGGCTACACAATGGAGAGGTGAGGATTGTGTGTGTGTGTGTGTGTGTGTGCGTGTAGAAAATTAATACAGTAAAAATGTTCATAGTAAATTGACTGGATTTACATAACACTCTTCTTGTCTTATCGACCACTTAAAGTGCTTTACAGGAGCGTCTCATTAATACAGCTCTTGTATACGCAGCACTTTTTCTATCACATATCATTCACTACACAGCTGCCAGGTAAATAACTTGCCGATTGGAGGTGCCAGGGATCGAGCCACCAAAGTTATGCTTAGTGGACAACCCTCTCTACCTCCTGCTCCACAGCTGCCTGCAATAAATAACTTGTAGGAGAACACACTCATTTCTAACAAAAAAAGTTAGATATTCATTCCAATGTCACCTCCAATGACCTGAGATAATATATTAACTATCCAGTTTATTAGCATATAAACCTGAGGGGAGTGATCGGCTCTGCCACCCTGTGTAACAGAGGCAATGAGGCTGGTTGAGAGAGAGACAATGGAAAACAAAGGAAAAGGCAGATACATCACCCACACAATGATCATCTGCTAAGCTGCCTTCTCCTTTAGGGAGAGTGACAGACAGAGGGGAGAAGTTCGAGAGAATGAGAGAGAGAGAGAGAGAGAGAAAGAAAATAGTGTACGAGTGAAGAGACGACAAAGAAAATGGGAGCTGGAGTGGATAGTGCAGGAGAGAGTAATAGAGATAGTGACGGAGCGATGGGAGATTGAGTCAAGAAAATAAAATTGGACACAAGGACCGGGAGGCATGAAGGGTGAGGGAGACGAGAGTGAGAGACGGTGAGATAAAGAGAGAATGAAGGGAGGAGAAAAGAAAAGACAAAACCCAGCAGCATACAAATGAAGCCGCCTGTAGTAGAGGAGAGGAGTGCAGGGAAAAGAAAGGATGACAAAGAAGACACAGTATTGAGGACAGGAAGAAGGGTGAGAGGTGGATGTGTAAAGGGGAAGAGAGGGAAGAAGAGTGAGACAAACGAGTGAGGAAGTGAAAAGGAGGGAAGAAAAGTGGTTCGGTGTCGTGCACTGAGTGGAGCAGAGCTGCCACTGCTGCTCTCAGCATGATGTCTTTCACACGCAGAGATCCATCAGCCACACACACACAGACACACACACACACACACACACACACACACACACACACACACTCAGAGCTCAGAAAGAATTGCATCAGCCTGTTGTCAAGTGCATGAACACAAACACCACATTGTCAATCCTCCACGAAGCTGCATGAAGTGGCAACTGTTCGTCTTCTCTACGCTCATCTCTTATGTTCTCTTCATACTTGCTTTGATCTTTTCTCTACTGTACTTCTCCTTTTTCTATTTTAAAAGAAAGTTGTGCTTTATTATAACTTATCTCTTTTTTCGGACATGTGACCGGTTGTGGCTCTGAGGTCGGAAGTGTTGATTCACCATTCATACCTTGATGTTGCTATATCGTCCAATACCGAGTACTGATCTGATACGTTTACATTCTTAAAATAATAAATTATAGCTGTATGCTTCTAACCCTGCATGGAAGTAATGATTGCTATCATTGTTGTATGGCCTGTCTCAGGTTAAACCCTTTCAAAGGCAAATAGATACAGAGAACGAATGTGAAACTAATGAACATTACAGACGTGGGATCCGATGTGTATGCATGATCGCCGATGCCTGACCTAGTATTTTAGGCAGTACTGGAAGCTTTTCTGATGCTGATATTAGTATCGGAACATCTCAAGTTCCAGGCAAAAAAAAGTGATTGACTTGGTTTCTTCAGCTGGTTAAGACCACAGAACAACCCATGTGTAGTCAGACCACCCCCCACCTCGTTAAGTACAGTACATAGATGTGTGCTCGCCGATGCCTGTCTGCATTTTTGGAGTATCGGAACATTTCTACTGAAATATTATAATATAACAGCCATTCATGCATTGCTGTTAAGTTTGACACAGGTATTCATGTTACTCTGAGGGTGAATGCAAATAACATTGTTGTTCCCCTGTTTTTTCTCTCTGAAGTTTTTGAAATTGAAACTTTTGTTTTTGCACAACTGTTGGACAGACTGTCATCATTTTGGCACAAAGATTTATGTCCCTCTCAGGGATGAATTGCAGCAACCTCTGCAATCCCTTCACTTTGCTGGGATCCGGCCAGAAACAGCAGCATGTTGCCACTGTCGTTGTGTGTCTGTGTGTAAGTGTGCGCTGATGGAAACATTTGGCTCTAAGTGCTGCTGTGCTCAAGTAGCCTCACAGAGCTCATTTTGGCCATCGTCCCAGATGTAGTTGAGGAGTTCGCCAAACTTTTTCATCTGAGAAATCAGAGAGCAGCAGTAAAATTGGGACCCAAACTGACCAATAGTGTGTGTGAACAGCTCTGTTGTGCGATGAGGGATTTTTACATTTCAGATGAGTTCACTTCTGCTTTTACCTTTGGCTGATGGTTCGTTTGCATCTTTTCTGACTGTCTGCTCCTTTTTCATCATTGAAGACTTTGTTGTAGTAAAGTTGCCGTGTTACCAGATCTCCGCAGTTAATGTCGTTACCATAAATGATTAAATACATTATTTAAAAGACACCCAGGTTGTAATAAAGCCTAATTTACCTTTATGAAGTCCTCAGGCTTTTTGTGTTTCTTTTCCTCTATTCATTTCTCTTTTGTTTTTTTAGTCTCTCTCTGTTCCTTTGTCCCCGGTGTAGCAGCCAATTAGTTAATTACTGTAGCTCATGTGGACAGCAGGGGAGTCGAGCCTCATCTGACCCCTGGATCCATGATCAAATCTTGCCCCAAAAATGTACTCATTTATATTCGCACCCACATGTACCTTGTAGGTGTGTCTAGTCAGCAGTAATTCTGTTATTTCTCCCCACCCCCCTTATTACACACACATATACCAAAACATGTCTGTGTTTACATATAGACTCCCTGGGGCTGATTTAAGTTTGACCCTGAATCTTCCGGACTCCCCGTGGTTTACGCCCGTGTACGACCAGGAGTCGTAGGTGATTTGTCTTGTCAGACCAAGTGTGTGTGTGTGTGTGTGTGTGTGTTTGACTGAGCGCCAGCTGGCCACCATAACTATGACAGTTAGTCTGGCTTCATGATGGATGATCTGGGCTATAGATACTCACTCTCCATCTCTGTGTCTCATACATACACACACACACACACTCTGCATATACGCTGGGGTGCCTGTATGTAAATGTTGGAGGGGGATCGCCCCAGTTGCCGCTCGGTAAATGCTGCCCTAACACACGTGCACAAAGGGGCAGGTTTTCTCATTTCAACACATACTTTCCATTCATACACCTGGTTTCTAGTTTAACATTTCTCTGCACACACACACACACACACACACACACACACACACACACACACACACACACACACACAGTCTTTTTGTGACCTTTTATTCACATCCTCTCTGAATCCGTGCAGTTGTACAGTTATTGAACCGTCATACACAGCAATAACACTTGTTTACAGTCATTTGACTGCGTGTCGCCTGTGGGCTTCTCATATGAGGTGCAGGAAATGAATTTGACCCAGCCTGAGGGCCACTGGGAAACACACTGGGGAGACAGAGTAGGTAAACTGCGATATTCTGCGTGTCAGCAGTGCCGAGCTGTCGGTCGGAACGAGGAATCACCATTGTTAGGTAGAGCATTTGGATGTGAATAGTATGGGTGTGTTACAGGTTACACTTTGAGGTGTGTTGATACTGTTTTGTAGTTTGCTTAGATTTAAAATACTTCAATGAGCATGTGCAAGACAAAGAACGCAGATAATCTGAGTTGAGGCATTAACACTGATGTCGCGTGTCAGCATGAGTGACACACTGACACCTGAGTTGTCCGTCCCCATGAGGTGACTGTAATCAGCTTACTGTCGTACTCACGTGTCCTGTATGTCATTGTATCTCCTACATAAACACTTTCCTATAATCTTCTCTCACGCACACATGCACGCAAACACAGCATTGTAACATGTCAGAATATTAATCTCCAGTGTCACCAGACACCCAGTCCACATACCGACATAGGTCTGAATATAATATGTGATATTTGATATGTAGTAAAATACACTATATTGAGTTTGTAAGACTATAATTTATTGCCTATACATCAAACCATGGTTAAATACTATGTGAATTTCCGACTGTGTGACTGACTAAAGGAATATCACTTTTTTAATTAGCACTGACACTTGAGCGAGGAAGAAGGAGGCCGCAAATTAAATGAACAAATATTATGAGACGCACTCAGAGGTGCAGCGACTGGGTCAGGTCACCTGCAGCCAAGCCTTCATGGGAAGTCTTCCTTTCAGGCCACTCTGCTTAATTGGTTCTGCTAATTAAAGCAAAATGAAAAAGACATCTGCTGCATTACTATAAAAGTAATGATGCCTCCAAACATGCCTGATCCATAAATTAATCACAATCACTTATGCTCTTTGATTAAAAATGTCAGAGAAACGTGGATCTGTGTGATGTTGCATTGACAGACATGAATCTCTGTGTAGATTTTCTATCAGTAAATGTGTTGCATGTGTGGAGATGTGGTCAGCGACAGCCATTGGCCAAAGGTGTTATGTTTGTGGGTTGTCCTTACTTTGGTACGCCCCTCTGTCCATCCCATTCTTTTCACCACGATATCGCAAACACCACGAGGGAATTTCTTCAAATTTGGTATTCACACTCAGTTTGACTCTGAAACTTTGAAATTAATATATTTTAGTGATCAAAGGTCAAAGTTGCCGTGACCTCACAAACACATTTTTACATTTTGAACTTGATTTTGGTGGCCTCTTAAACATGATATCTCAAGCCTGATTTCGTTAAATTCCTTTTTATTTAAATGTTTGTATGTGATTTAAACTTCACTGGTTTAGCAGAGGCACACAACTGATTTACAAATACATGAGTGTTAACCTCAGTAACTCTGATGTTTAATCATAAGTCTGAGTTCACTTGTTCAAAATGTCTTCCTCTTAGAAATGTGCATAACGTTTTCATATCATATGAACTCTTTGGTCGATGCTGGCGTTGATATTGAGGTTCTCGTTAGACTCCTGAGGTGTTTGGCGCCGCTGCCAGATGTGCTTTGATGATTAATGGCTTCCCCATTGATCAGAAGGCGAAGTGGACGGAGGCATGTGCATAGCAACATCACACTCTTTGTCACTGCCCATTGACTTTCACTCAATAATTTTCTTAATGAATGGGTAGTTTTTAACAACATGAGCTTTATATGTAGCAGACGCGGACCTTGTTTTTCTCCCAATGCTGGGAATAGTTCAGAAGTTCACTATATTGATTGCGTTTCCGAAACATTCTCTCGAGACATTCACAGTGTTGCAGCTTTCTGCCTTTGATTATGAGAGAAACTGTACGTTTTTTACAAATAGATGAGGTCACCATCTTCTTTAAGAAAATAAAAATCTGTGATAACCCTTCAAATGTATCTAACAGCCTCTTTTAGTTAAAGTAAAAATCTGATTGAGCCCTCAGTCTTTTCTAAATCTCTCTTTTTGCTGTTTCTCTCCTCCAGTTACACTCCCCTCTGTCTCCTACAACAGGGTTCGACAACCACGTCGTTCTGTCAGACAATGAGGTAAGTGTCTGTTGAACCCCCTTATTCCCCAAACTGCCTGCTCCAGTGCCGAGACAGGAACACTTTACACTGTGAATGCCAACGCTCCGAGCACCAGAAACATGAAAAAGAAAAGAAAACGTGAAAACTGGTAAAAGAGTCATAGAACATCAGACAATATGCTACAAGGGGAAAACCTAGCAGGGGTCCCTTGATATAAATGCACCACTGTTTCTTTTAGAGCTTGGGTTCCTGTCATGTTCACCGCAGCTTTACCCAAAACACATCAATAACGTGTCTCTTCTGTGTCCCGCAGTCCGCTGTGTATTCTACACTCAACCAAACAAACTGTGACAATGCTGTGAACGTGGAGAACGAGGAGGACAAGGAGCACGACTACAGCAGCATCGCTGAACTCAAAGGTCTGGTCCCGGCCTCTTCCTCCAGCGACCTCTACGCCACCGTCCGAGACATCTACAACCAGCCCGACGAGCCAGAGGTGGGGGATGACCCCAACTTGGACAGCACAGATCCCGGCTACGAAACCATCCGCATCCCAAAGACTAGCAGCTCGGATGATGACGGCAGGGACAGGCTGGAAGCGGAGGGGTCAGACGCCGGCAGAGTGCCAGAGCCTGACTATGAGAGCGTCGGGGAGTTGGGTCTTGGCCGGGAAGCGTCCCGTCTCTGAGTCCTCTCCTCATCATCGTCATTAGTTTGGACAAAGCCTCCCATGTGATATGTCTTTGCTTTGAACCTGCTACCAAGCATGCTTTTGGTGCATGACTTGGGGAAACCGGCAGGAAACGGCTCACCTAACTGCATCCATCATCAACACATGAGTTTCCTCTTAGCAGCTCGGGTACGGTTTGTCACATCTGAACTTTTAATTTATCACATGGGGTCAGCATCATCGGTAATCATAGGCCTAGTAATAAATGAACTGTTGTACCTCGGTCACTGGGCATTCATCATGTGGAAGACTGCACATTGGATCTTCATTGAACATCATCTCCACTGGCACAATCATGAACACTTGATTGTGTTGACCAAAAAAAAATGGAATAAATACACACATGCAGCATTTCAAGGGGTTAGCCGAGGACTGTTCCTGTGATGTAAAAAAGAAAAAAAAAGAAATCAGTGCCATACACTCATGAAATTCATGCACTTACTGTTAAAGACTGAACATCACGTTATTTTTACTCCACGTCGACAGCTGCTAGTGGCTTTCTAGCGTCCTCCAGGTGACAAGTCTGCGTCATGTTGTATTGAGGTTTGATTCATGGTTATTCCTCCACTGTGCATCCTCTGCTTGAAATCTATGTGAACGGAATCTGGGCCTAGAAAAGAAAAACAAACATCTGATAGATAATACACCATCAAAATGACTCTTAAACTGTGGGTCAAAGTGGTAACAGGTCAGGGGGGGATATGAAACTAGTCATCCGCAGAACCAAAATGGAAGCCAGAGATTGAGGAAGGACGTCAGCGTCACATGAGCTTTCCCTTTCGCAATACATTTTTCCATGTATTTTTTTACATGTTTTTCAGCCCTTGTCAGCATTTTTTATTGAAATTCATATTTATTTTAGGATGCATATTGTTACGTAATTGTGAAATGTGTCTATGAGAAGAAAGAAAATAGGGTTTTATAGACGTTTCTAGCATTTGTATTGAAAAACATATGAAAAGAAAGTGAGCTGTGAGAAAGTTGTAAGGGTACGCACTCCCTCGACTTTGATCAAAAAGAAGAACACATATGATGAGACCATATTTCCTTTTTTGTCATTTTGCACAGGGGTCAAAACTAATTCAAAAGACTTGTAATGTGATGAAATGCGCAGCCTTGTATTATTAATGTTATCGATGAAATGTATTTTCTTTTGTTATCATGCTTTTTTGAGCCGACTCTTGGTACCGTATCTTCTTCAGTTGGCATCCTGGATTATTTAAAGCACAAGGTTTATTATCATAATGGTACTGCATTTATACACAGGTCATTATTATCAGTTACACCTCTGCACAATTTAAATATCCAATGTTTTTTGACTTGTTAGAAAAAAAACAACACATATCTGTCTGTAGCTTGTGATGACGACATGCCAACCGAGGCTTGTATATACAGTAGTAGGAGCACTATTTTGACTGTAACTCGCTGGAAGTTTTATGTAAGCTTTTACTCGTTTGTACAACGTTTAGAGTGATATGATTTTAGAAGAAGAGCACTGATAATATGTCTTGACTTGTTTTGAAGTAAACCTGAAGCCCTCATGTCCGACGCCTTTTGCCTTGTAACGTAACTCAGAGTTGCTTTTTTGAGAAGTAGTAACCGGTCGCAGGTCGGGAATATGGTACAGTGTTTTGGTACGTACGTTTGCAGAAACATTAATTGTGGTACTTTTATTTAAAAGAACTGAATTATTGTCTGAATACTGTTGTTTGATGTTTATTTTTTTAAAGGCCAATGTTGTTGTTTTTTTTTGCTGTAAATATATCTTTCACTCCCACAGTATTTTCCCCACTTTAGCAGAAGTGCTGTTGTCATCTACTTCCACCACCATCAAAACATTACAGCATCTCCAGCCCCCGTTCATGTTTCACTAGACGTGCAGGAGCTTGTCTGTGCTTCAGATAAACAGAGGCGGCCCTCGCTGCCTGGTATTAGATTCATTAATGATATCAGACCTTGGAAATGCTGTTTCATAGTTCAAGCAATCCTACAGGCGAAACACAATTGGAGGTGCAATCCAATCCCAGTATATTTTTAAAGTACAAGCCTCAAAAATATATCATTAATTTCTGCAGAGGGGTAATTATCAGTGTTATTTTCACTCCTGAAGAATACACGACCCTTTGAGCACATGGTTCCTATGCCAAATCTCATGGTTGTGTGTCAGGGTAGTGCCATCATTTAGATATAATGGTGTTCACAGATCGCTATAAATGACCTTTAAGGAAATGATCTGCCAAAGGGGGGGAAGCTTTAGTGCCAAATCTAATCAGGACAGCACATACACATTGTTAATAGATACTTACCTAAAATCACTTATTCTGTCGAGCTGTCTGTTTTGGTCATAAAAACACACAGACTCTCCCTTCAGGGGGTGTGGGTCTTGCCTGAGATGCTCCTCCACCGCGTCTCCTTCAGCTCCACTTCTCCCTTAATGAGACCATTTGTTCCAGCCTACAACAAGCAGACAACTCTATGGTGACACCGTCTTTGATCACAGGGCAAAGCCTGTTCTGGCAGTTATGGCCACATCTGTCACTCCACTCTGTCCAGTTTCCATTCTCAGCATGTAAATATTTTATGACATGAATTGTTCTATTAAAATATATATATAATAAATTGTGTCATTGTATTTTTTTTTATTCATTGGGGGGCTGTCACATAAATTTATGGGCTGCACGTGATTTTCAAAAAAGATTACATTTGACATTAATTAGGCCATTTGTTACTGTGATCACATTATTTTGCTATATTCAATCTGCCATGCTGAGCTGATAATCACGATGAATGAATTAGACTGCTGGCAAATTTCATTTGTGAAGTTTTTAATCAAGCGAAACATGTTTTTCGGATATCTTTTTTTTTTCTTCCTCAGAGAAGCAACAGCTTCAGTCACACGGTGTGATCACACTTCGGGTTTCTTATGTAGCACAGGGTGTAGCTTAGCGACTTGTGAGTGCAGTGTTGTAAAGAAATGAGCATGAAAATACGGAACAATATATCTGCTGGGTTGCCAATATTACCTCTGCCAAGGAAGTTATGTTTTCTCCCCTGTCCGTTTGTTTGTTGGTTGGTTTTTATGATGGTTTGGAAGCAAGATTACACAAACAACTGAACAGATCTCTCCTTAGTGAAGGTATTCACTCTAATGCTGTTCTAGTAATTGCCATGTGACATTCAATAACCATATAACTGCATTTCTGACAAGGCTGACCTCGGTTAATGATTGTAAATTTGCATTTTTTATATATTTGCATAATATCTTGGTCACATATAGTATTTGCACATGATTGTCTTCTCTAGAGTTCTTTATCTAAATTACTTGATGGGGCTGGTTTGGATTTGTTTGACTCATAATGTGCAGGGTTGATCTTGGGGCATATTTATCAACTAATCAATCAAGAAATTTAATTTAATTTGTATAGACCATATTCTCAAATCACAATTTGTCTCATAGATCTTAACAATGTGCGACATCCTCTGTCCTTAACCCTCAACAAGAGTAAGGAAAAACTACAAAAAAATATTTATAACCATATCTCTCCCAGGACGGACAGAAGTGTAATAGATGTTGCGTGTTACTAAGAGCATCAACAAAATAAGAGTATTTACAACAGTGATTAGAAGAAACAATTTGTAAAATAATGGAAAAGTGTGCCAATGTTTAGAGTAACATGCAACACTGAAGTGTAAGGAAGACACAAAAAAACAATATATATATATATATGCACATGTAATTGAATTAATATAAACAGTGTAAAGACAGGTACAAATGTGTGCAGTGTGAGAATATGTACAGTGAAAGGGTTGCAAATAAACCATTGATATTGCACAGACAGATGAATATGTTAAAGTTGATAGTCAGAATGGTGCAGGTAGTTCATGGGAGCAGAGCTGGTTGTACAGTCTTACTGCTGCTGGTTGCATGTTGTTGCATGAACCTTGCATGCAATACACAACGTATGATAAGTGATGAAAACCCCACATGAAGTCAAATAAGATGTGTTTACATTCACAAGATCACACCACTGCAGCTCCTCACTTCCACCTCACATCCAGATCACAGTGAATTAGGAGTCTGATGGCACCTGAGTGGGTTACAAGCATAAAGCCTGAGTGTCTGGTAGAACTTTTCCCATCCGTAACCTGAAATCCCCTTTTCTCCTCTCCGCCTTGCCGCCTCACCCCCCTCCCTTCTGGCTTCCTCTCCATCCTTGCGTCATTGTTTTGAATGGAGCATCCTCCCGGCTTGCGTTACCTTCAGTCGGAGGAGAAGGGGGAGCGGTGGGGGCTTGTGGAGGCGTGTGCTTCCCCGACCAATCGCGGGCCGCCGAGGCCGCCGGACCGCACATGTTTACAGGCAGCATTCCGCCGGTAGAGCCCCTGCTCGGTGGGAACCACACCCGAACTGGACGACGCAGCAGCCGGATCCGGAGTCCCCTGCACGGCCGCGGTGTATCGCGTTCCCAGCCTCTAGAGAAGAGTTGTGACAGAAAGGCTCGAGCGAAGTGAAATTATTCGACGTGTTTGTTTTGATTCGTCTACGTCCGGCTGGTTTTCCCGCAAACAAGCCGCCATTTTGTCAAATCGTGTACAAATGTCACTTCGGCTCCCGGAGGTGTCGGGCGCTCCGTGTTTTGCCGCCGCCCCCTCGGCTCGGAGGGAGCAGTGGGGAAAACAAACAGGCCGAGCGGAGGAAGAGAGCTAACCGGCTGGATGTGGAGCTTCTTCAGCGGCGAATGAATCGTCTCCGCGGCGCGAGGTTTCTGTCCGGTGCTAACTCGCTCCACGTCGGTGTTCCGGTGCTTTTGAATGAGGCGCTGGTCGGAGGTTTCTTCCTTCCGAGCATGTTGCCGCTTTCTAACATTTTGTCACGGCTGTCGGGGCGCGTAGTCTACCCGCTGCGGTTTTGTGTTTTTCTCGACGTTGTTTACCGGCTTTAATTCGACGCTTCATGGTTTTAAACCCGCTCTGAATTCAGCTTGCTCTTTTTGTTTAGTTTGGTTTTGCTCGACATGCACACGAGGCGTTTGGTCAAGCGGTCGATCCTCGGCAGCCGCGTTTATGCGCCGAGTCCGACCGGGGACGGGGCTCCGGTGACAGGAGTGGTCCAGGCTGTCAAGCAGGAAAACAGGGACGTGTCGGCCGCGGGACTCCGGCGCAGCGTCTACACGGTGCTCATGCAGGACGGGAGCCTCAAGGAGTTCTCCGAGGAGGAGCTGGCCGCCGGGATCAACCACACCACAGCGAAAGGACCGCTCAGATCCAGCCTGAAGGTGGGTCAGTGTGCAGGGGGAGCTCCGGCCGGCAGGCAGCGCTTCACTGTTTGTGTTGTGCGGTGTTTTGCAGCGTTTAACCGCTTCCTGCGCAGAGCGGATTTAACGATGCCGCCGCCGCCGCTGCTGCTGCTGCTGCGGCCGCTGACAACAAATCGAACCGGCGGGGACAAAACCTGCATCTCCCAGAATAGCTGCAACAACGATTCGGTTGCATATTGCATTAAATCGCGGGCTGTCATGACATTTGGCGACAATCAGATAAATGGGACAAAGGGCTTGATGGGGCCTGCGCAATGTTTATGTGGGCTAGTGGGTGGGTAAGCCGAGGCAAACAAACACGCCGTGACTGCAGCGTTTTGGATGTGGACAGATCACGCTCCATAGATTTTTTTTTTGCACATTTTGCTTAATTATAATTTTTTTGCATCACATTTGTCACATGTCATTTTGTGCATCCCGCCTGGTGCTGCACATTTTCATTCATAGATGATGCAGCATACACTATTTCTTATGTCTTCATGCACAACAAGGCCAGTGTTGTTGAACAAGGGTTAAAACAGCTGGTGTGGTTTTCTCCTGGCATCACAGACAGAACCGAAAGTTGCAATCATGTCCAAATTATAAGTCCTGATGTGGGCCTGATTAGCACTGGACAAATTGCCTTCATATCCACCTTGTATTTGGCCTCAGATAAAGACTTTGTGAGAACAAGAGGTCAATCCAGCTTTTGGATAAAAACAAAATTTTTGGCACTGTGTGTGTATCTCCTTTTTATAGTGTGGGAGTGACGAAGGAATGCCTAAGACTGAAAAAAATGCTTTGATTTATTTAGATTGGTGTGGTTTGTTCCTCCTTGCATTCATGTGTGTATGTGTTGTGCTTTGATATGTTTCTGATGAAGTAACTTAACCGGGCAGTAATTGCCAGTCTTATTTTCATAACCAAAAGGGGAAATGTTTGGCCACTATTTGTTGCCACTCATGCAGGACTGCTCACATTTCCTTTTATGCAAATGTGAATTCACAGATACAGCAGCAACACTCCAACTCCACCCCACTGCCTGGAAAGCTTGTAAATCTTAAATTAAGTTGTAAACTGTTATTTAAAAACTTTTACTCAGACGTGCCAAATCTCAACCAGGAGGAATGCAGCAGCTCTGCGTGGAGATTTGTCAGAGCTTTGTGTGATGGGGAATGCAGAGTAAACTTTGCCTCTTTTGTTTTGTTAATTTTCTTGTGTATGCAGCAGTGCACTCACAAAAGCTGTTGCACAGTATTGTTGCAGTCAGCGATGCAGGCTGGAGTGGTGCAGCTGAGGCTGAGAGCGCAGTCCTGTCAGCACAATGGTCAAGTCTCTTTCAGCACGACTCAATTCCCGCTGAGGACGAAAACAAGCCATAAAATGAGGAGGAGGGGTCTGTTGTGTGTGTGGATTCACATGTGCATTGAACAGTGTGTTCCTGGATTGTGTGATAGCTTGGATGTGCCTTCTCCCATATGCACATTTGTACGTTTTAATGAGTGAGAGCTGACTGCTTAAAATTTTGGAGTGGAGGGGGTTGTTTTTGAGGGCGTACTGCCCCATTTGAGTTGCAGCTGCCCGGCCAACAAAGCCGGCACCCCCAGGTTGGCAACGGGTGGCGTGCTCCTGAGAAGCTGGATGCTTGGCTCATTGCCTGGTATGGCTAACAAATGACTCCCATTTTTGGGCGGAGAGAGGGGGGGCCATCACGATGCCACTTGTTGACTTGTTGATTTGTGTGCTGTGAGCAGCATTGCACAGATTTCTCACTGCTAACAAAGAGGCATTACTTGTTTTGTTTTGCTGGGGCTTTTGTTGTTGTCGTCGCCGTTGTTTATGTTGATCGTGGGAGTCAATGAAGCGAGCTTGTTGACAGGAGCTGTGTGACTCTTTGTTCTGAAGTGTTGATCCCAGTCAGGGACCGGCCGTCCTCATTGGTCGACTGAGCAGCATCAGCATTAAGCGCGGTGAACGCAGGGTCAAGTCTGTGTGCGTCTGGCCCTGCATTGATATGAGTAATTTTTTATGGCTCATGTGTCTCCTGTATGTGTTATGTGTGTTATGAAAATACGATCTCACGTTTCACACACGCAAAATTTAAATCCCCTTTTCTTGTTGCATATGTGTCAAAAAGTAATTATCTTCTGAAAAATGATTCTGCCTGCAGAATAACTTCCTCTATTACATCAAGAAGAGAAAGGGTTCGGGCTGAATGATTTGGGGGGAAATAATGTATTGTGATTCTTCTGACCATGAGCATTGCTTTTTTACAATTTTAATTATAATCATTTTCTGAAACCTCCAGGCCGATGCACAGGTTTGAATAAGAAATGTTTGTATTAAGCATCCCAAATGTATTTCTTGACAATCACATTGGATAAGATAGTGTTCTGCTTGTTGTTGACATCCCTCAAAGTTTTTTTTATTCAAAAATATAAATTAGCTAGTTTTGTAAACATCTATACCAAATCGGTACATCTGTATTATTTATTGAAATATGGCGACATGAGTTTCAGTCAGTTTGGGTAATTCAATGTTAATTAGATATTTATGTACTCTCTCCCAATTCAAAGTGGCACTCAGTTTGCATGTTTGATTTTTAAGCGATACATTTCTCAGTTATTCTGGAAAATGTTATTTTACACTGTGTAGATGAAATGTTTGCAAATCAACTAATGCAAGACTGCAGTTCTAGCCTTTATTTCATGTTTTATGCGTTTTCCTGCAGTTTATTTGCGTGAGTGATTAAAAAAGTGACCACCTTATTGAAGATTGCAGTTTGACTCATGAATATCTCCAATCGTGATCATATCCACTCGATGATCTAATAAAAATGCTTCTGAGGGACAAAGCTCCATACGAGCTGAACGGTGCACTGTGTGGGGATTTTATGACATGGGGTCCATGGAATTCAATCTGTGGTCCGTGCCAGCTTTGCTTTATTGTGACCTTCGACCCATAAAGGTACGAGAATCTTTACGCTTGACAAACTACGGCCCAAAGCCAGTAGATTATGTGTGTGTGTGTGTGTGTGTGTGTGTG